AAGGAGCCCGCGGTTAATGGCTAGGGGGTGAGCAGGGCCCCATCAGGGGCTTGCTTGAGGGGACCCTCGTGGTAGGAATGCGTGACCTCGTGCCTCATAGGGACGGTTTGGGATGGCTTCTGCCCAGCTCAGAGGGCCCGCGAGTTAAAGGTGTTGGGGGGTAGGGAGGCAGGGTCAAAGGGAACATGGTACATCAGGCAGGGAGGTAATACAGAGGCCCAGGGTGCAAGGAATTGGGAAATTATAAGGCCAAGTTTAGGGCATTTTAAAGGAGAATGAGCTGGAGGCGACTCAGCAGGAAGGCTGGGCCAGGATCTGGCCCCAGGCACAGGGAAGATGCAAAGCTGGGGTGTGGCCTGGTCACTTTGGGGTGAGGCTGTTCCACCAAGCCCCGTCCCCAGGGACCCGTGGCACTGACTTCTGAGCTCACACCAAGGTCAGCAGTGTGGGGACTATGGAGGTGACAAGATCGTGCCCCAGGGAAGTCGGCTCTCGATGCGTCTGGGCTGCATCTGGAGAGCAGATCTGCTGGTGTGGGGCGGGGCTGGCCAGGGCGGCCTCTGGTTCTCATACTTCAGCGGGTCTCCCGGGCATCTCAGTGCCCCGGCTTCTGGACATGGCCACAGCTGCCATCCTCGGACACTTTTTAGATTCATAAACCAGCAGAAAGACCCTCTGAGGGTTTCTCATCTCCAGGAACGTTCCTCCCTGAGGCCTGGGGGTGGGACTTCCCAGTCTGATTCTGTGCCATTGGGACTAAACGAGACGTGAGCTCCTGTTTTAAGAGGGTGACACTTCCCTTCCAGTTTCCCGTAACTTTGCATGGGTTGCTACAAAGATTCTAAGTTTCTAACGGCCAGGAGCTGCCTTTGCCCTTTCGTCTGGGGCTCCCTGGGCCCAGCCAGGTGCATGCAGTAGGCACTCCACGATGCTGAGCTGCTCCTGCCCTCTGGGTACGCCTGGGAATGCAGGCGTCATCCCGGAGCCACCTTCACTCCAAACCCTGCGGTCTTCCTTCGGCCACCTCCACTGATGACACCCCTGTTCTCCACACTTGACGCCCAACTCATGTTCGCACATGTCTTGCTCCACTCCACAAGCGTTATGGGGTGTGTGGCCCCGTGCTGGGTGCTGCGGGCTCCTGGGGTGATCCGCGAGATGAGGTCACGGCCCACGTCTCCTGGGGGCCTCAGCACTCGAGGGCGGGTGCGGATGCTAACGAGGGCGGGATCCCTCGTTACGGGGGGGCCTTGTCTCACTTGCTCTCTGAAGTCCCTACAAGGCAGATATTATTATTGCCCTGTCTTTGCAGGTGGGGAAACTGAGGCTCTGAGTAGCTAAGCTGGTGCGCGCCTGAGCTGGGGTTCAAACCCGAGTGTGTTTGTGAATGAAAAGAAGGGAGGTCGTGATGGGCCGGGGCCAGAGGCTGTTTAGATCCTGAGATAACGCAGGAGAGAGAAGCTAGGGGCTGTGGGTCTTCGTATCAGAGACCGAGGAGATGGGCGTCAACTCAGCCAGCAGGACGGAGCCACACAGTTTAGGGGGAAGACAGTGGCACTCACGCGCGTGAGTCAAAAAGTTCTTTGGTGGGTTGGGAATCGCTGAGAGGGTTAAGGGAGGGCTCAGGAGATGGGCTCCGTCGTGAGCTTGAGAGGGGTCCTTACGGGAGGGGGGCTCGACCCTTGCAAATAAGGACCTTCCTCGGGGTGGTTGCTGTTATTAAACACCTGCTGCATACCTAGGCTTGGTGGGTTATTTCATTAACTCCTCCTAAGGCCCACGGGCGTGATTGCTGTTAGTTCCATTTTGCGGAGCGGGGCCTGAGGCTCTGGAGGTCAGCGTGACCTTGGGTCAGAGCAAAGCTGGGGTTTGCTCTGAGCTCTGAGTGATGCCAACACCATCCCCCGCCCGCCACGGCAGAACACCCCTGCCCCACGCGGTCACTGGGGTTGTAGCCAACAAGTGTCCAGCCAGCTGAGCTGCCAGTAACAAGTTCCCCAGCGCAGGGGGACAGCTGGCAGGAGGCGAGGGGCCGGTTTGGGCCGTAATTTGGTCTTGTGGGCAGAGTTGGCCCACGGTGGGGCCGTGTACCTGGAGCACAGCACAAGTTCACCTCAGAGCCGGGCAGAGGCGGGCCATGTGTCCCCGGGGGAGAGAGGGCCGAGGACCCTCGGAGCTGGCACCCTCTCTCTGGGGTTTCAGGGAGCTGCTTGCCGGCAGCTACGCATGCAGAGAGAAGTGTGGAGCAAAGGCCGTGGCTTCAGCAGCCAGGGCCCTGGAGAAGCAGGAGCGTGTTTTGGGCTTGCCCCTGTCCTGTACCGGGTGGGCCACGGGGCCCGGGCTCCCTCCCCTTTGAGCAGCTCAGAGGGAACAGAAGGCGGCAGTGGGAAGGTGGTCTCTGTATCCTGGTTGAGGAAGGCTGTGGAGACGGGAGGGTGGAGAGCCCTGGTCGAGGGTCTGCTCACACAGAGCCCCGGCTCTCCCCCTCCAGTCCTGGGTCCGCAGGTCCTGGGTAACCGCCAGGCCGGCCACTGTTCCTGATGGCGGTTAAAGGGACGGCTCCCTGGGGCTCTCTCCTTCCACCGCACCGTCGTGGGTATCGCCCCATCTGACCTTACGGTGATCCAGGGAGGCCCGTGGCTTATTCTCACTGCCTTAAAATGTGAGGGGAAACTGAGGTTTAGAGAGCCCCGTCACTTACTGAAGGCCAGGCCAGCCATGTGACCCTGCCCGCGGGCTCCCGGGGCCCTGGACTCCTCACCATGCTTCAGCCCTCACCTGGGGGCTGTGGGGGAGCTGAGCCAAGGGGCTCACGGTTGCGACCAAGCTCCAGGAGCTCGGGCTCCCTGCACTTGGCAGGCCGTCCCCGGGGCGGTGGGGGGAAGGCAGGTCGAGAGCCCAGGGACCGAACCTCCCCCCTGCCGGGTTCTTTTTTTTTTTTTTTTTTTTAAAGATTTTATTTTTTCCTTTTTCTCCCCAAAGCCCCCCGGTACATAGTTGTGTATTCTTCGTTGTGGGTTCTTCTAGTTGTGGCATGTGGGACGCTGCCTCAGTGTGGTCTGATGAGCAGTGCCATGTCCGCACCCAGGATTCGAACCAACGAAACACTGGGCCGCCTGCAGCGGAGCGCGCGAACTTAACCACTCGGCCACGGGGCCAGCCCCCCCACTGCCGGGTTCTTAGACCCCCTGGCCAGTCATCCTGGACTGTGTGGCCTACAGGCTGTCAAGGTGTGTGCCCCTACTGTGCTTTCCTGGAAGACAGGGTCACCCTGGCGAGTTCCTTCGCACGGGCGTCTGATGCAGGGATGAGGGGCTCAGGAGGGGGTCAGGATGCGTGTGGCTTCTCCCGCTATGTCCCCAACCTCCCTGAAGCTCCCCTGCCCCCTCTGTGCCGTGGGAAGCTCCCGGCTGCTGCCCGTCCAACCCCCTCCAGATCCTCCTCCTCCCGGGGCCACCCCATCTGGGTTCACTGTGGTGCTCCCAGTTGGCTGCGTGCTGGGGGCGCGTACTTCCTGCAGGCGGCGAATCCAGCGCTGGGCAAGGCTGACCTTCACTTGTCTGGGACTTCGAGCCCGTCAGCACGTTGCTCCCACCGTCTGCTCTCTGCTTCCCAGGGCCGCCCCCTCCCAGACAGGGGCCTGCTGAATTCTTCGGGCCCACCGCAGCCTCTCCGTTGAGGCCTCTCTCGGTGGAGCCCTTTCTCCTCCGCCCAGCCCTCCCACACCAGCCCCCTTGGACCCTGTTGAAAGCCTCCCCACGTTGCCTCCCGCCCCTCCTTCCTCCCTCCACAGCGGCCCGCCCCACTCCCGGCTTACTTCTGGGGCAGCAGCCGAATGCCAGAGGGATGCAGCCCCCGAGAAGGTGGGGAAGGGCCCCCAGCTTAGCCCCAGTCCCGTGGCCCACGAGGAAGTCCACTTCTGTCCTGCGCCCCCCCCCCCCCCCCCCCCCCCCCCCCCGGTGCCTCCGAGGATGGATGACCATGTGGCAAAGCGCCCTGCCTGTAAATGATGGGGGAGCTTTGGCAACGGAAGCAAAGTTGGAGATTTTGGGTTTCTTTCCTTTAAAAGAAAATCCTGTGCCAGGAGGCAGACGGGGGCTTTCGATTGTCTCTCAAAGAGGGAAGCCCGCAAGCCCCCTCTCCCCGTCCCCACAGCCTCGTCCTCCCCAGGGGCGGCCGTGTTGTCAGTGGCTTTGGCGCTACCGGAATGGCCTGCCCCCTCCCGCTGGAAGCCCCCGCCGCCGCCGCCGCCACCGGCACGCGGGAGCAGAGCCCCGGCCGCCCCCTCTGCCAGCCTGCGGTGCCTCTGCGCGGAATGACGCGGAGCCGCTGCCGCCGGGGGCATTGTGGGCTCCTCGGATGACTGGGGGCACCACACACACACACACACACACACACACGCTCGGACGGAGCGGGAGGGGTCGCTGCGTCTCCGCGGCCCGGCTCTTGCGGGGAGCAGAATAGAATTTGATTTTTTTTGTAAACCGCTTGGAGAAGAAGGAAGAGAAAACCTGCTGCCTCATTTCTCCTCCGGCTGATTTCGTTTGCACCACCACCACCACCCCCCCCCCAAGAGGAGGCATCCGGCCGGGGGCTCCTTAAGGCTGCCGCCCCACGCACGGTCCTTCGGGCCACTTACTTTCTTTGCTCCCTGGCGCCTGGAGCCGGCGGCTCGCTTGGCCATCGCCGGGGCCTCCTCCCCACCATGCCTGCCTCCTTCCTGCCGCTCGCTCCCGCGCTGCCGCTGCCTCTGCCTCTGCCGCGCCCCCCCCTCCGCGCCCCATTGTGCCAAGCCCGCCTATCCCCTTAGCCTGCCCCCCCCCCCCAGCTGCCTTCCCTCTTCCTGCGCCCTGTGCTGCCTACTTTCCTCCATGCTGCCTGGAGCCGGCGAGCTGGGGTGATTAATTGGCTACGATGATGAACGTCCCCGGTGCAGGACCGGCCGCCGTGATGATGACAGGTTACAATAATGGTCGCTGTCCTCGGAACTCTCTCTACAGTGACTGCATCATCGAGGAGAAGACGGTGGTCCTGCAGAAGAAAGACAATGAGGGCTTTGGATTTGTGCTCCGAGGGGCGAAAGGTAAGCAGAAGCCGCTCCCAGCCTGGATGCATTCACGTGTGTGTGTGTGTGTGTGTGTGTGCACGCCTGTAGGAAAAATGTTCCCCAGCTCCTCGGAAAGCAGGCTTCTTCCTGGGGGCACTTGGTTGCTAGACAACTGGGTTCTTTAACATTCTGCCTTATTCAGACAACACTCGGCCTTCCTTGAGGAATATTTTGAATTTTCTATACACAGTATTGCTCTGAACCAGCTCTCTCTTTCTCGCTCCCTCCCCCCACCTTTTTTTTTTTTTTTTTTTAAATCCTAGGTTTAATCTATATTTTGTGGTTTGGTTCAGCCCAGTTGTGGCTGGATTCGGAGCTCCTGGTCTCAGACACCCAGAATAACTGGGTCCTGAGTTCCGGGTATCTAGAAACTGCCCCGTTCTGGGAGTGGGCTTTGATTCCAAGTACGGCAGGTGCCCATGTGCTGGGCTCTAAGGTGACTTTGCAAAGGAAATGTGGCAAGATGGTCCCCCTCTGCCGTGGCCCCAGCCGGCCTCACACACGTCATGTGGCCTGGGGTGGGGGGCTCTGAGGACGCATGCATTTCACGGCAGTGCACCCCCCGCCAGCCCTTAACTTGGGGGGGAGGTTTCCCTTCCAAAAGAGAACAAAATGGCATCACCTCCCCATGAAAGGAGACAGCTGTCCACCGTGTGTGTGGGTAAGCCATGTGGAAGTTTTATGCCGGGAGCCTCTGTGCTGTACTGGGGGTCCTGCACCTGTGCTGGGGGAGGCCTCCTTCCCCAGGTGGCACCCCCGCCTGCCCCAGCCCCAGGCTGCCCTGACAGCGATCTGTCCAGGGAGAGAGAGAAAGGCTGCATCTATCCCCGTGTGTGTCCATGACTGTCTGGGTGGTGTTCGCTCCCCTCCCCCTGCCGAGGCCATCTTCATCTTCCCACCCACCCAGCCACCCCCGGCCACTCATGACTACCCAGGAAAGTCCACCGCTTGTCCTAGAGTTTTGCTCGGCAGCTGTGTGGGGCCCAGAAGCCGAGGCTCGCCCTGCTGAGGCAGGGGCCCAGCCCGGCCACGGATGCCGGCCATAGAGGGCTCGCAGAGAGCCCGGCTCCCTGCAGAAAGAATTCACGAGCAGATTCCCAATCTGCAGCCACCCACTGGGTCAGCTTTCTGTTCCGTCCGTGCTCCAAGTTGAATTTCCTTGCAAGTCCACGTAGCTGTCAATTTGGCAAGTGCTTTCAGTGTGGTGTTTCTGTAGCTCCGTGTGGTTATGGGGGGGAACTTTTCCATTTTTAGAACTGAAAATGTTTAGTCACTGATGCTTTTAAAGAAAATGACAGGGGTGTCCATATAGACACGTATGGCGGAACACATTATGTTCCGTGTTTCAGCAGAGAGGCCAAGACAAACGATGGTGGCACCAAAATGCATCTGGCTTCATTGCTTGAGTTGGTGTTGACTGGTGACTATGAGTGTCAAGCCCTTCCTGGGGGGAGAGGTGAGCTGGACCACCCACTTCCAGCTGGAGACACGTGGGCCTTCTTTCCCTCTGGGGCCCAGGGGGGAGCTGGGGCTGCCAACTTGGAAACATCTCAAGGGTTGTAATGAGGTGCTCCTTGTCTCCCCAGCGGATACGCCCATTGAGGAATTCACGCCCACGCCAGCGTTCCCAGCCCTGCAGTACCTGGAGTCCGTGGATGAAGGTGGGGTGGCATGGCAAGCCGGACTGAGGACTGGGGACTTCTTGATTGAGGTAGGACACGGGTGTTTGTATCTTTCTGCTTGGGGAGAGCGCCGACTCTCTTAGAGGTGGGGTCCGTGGTCTTGGAAGCGTGGCCATTGGACCAGGTCTGGGGGTACTCTTGGTGGCTACCGTGGACTCATGTTATTTGGTTATTTCCACTCATTGTGGATGCCATTTCCTGTGGACTTGTGTGGGTTGTCTTTGAGGCCTTGGCTGTAACTCTTTGGAAGATGGAAATGTATGTGGCACTTGGCCATTGGTCTTGAAGTAGAAAGTAGAAGGAAGAGAAATGTGGTTGCCATGATGTCGGGGACATGCATGGATCCGTGGGCGGTTTCATTGTGACTGTAGGAATAGACACCAAGAGGGGCCATCGCCCATTCTTGCGCCCCAGGGCAGGTTGGGAGGCACTGGTCTGTGGCTCTTGCTTGTGTGAAGTCTGTTAATGTTGGTGGCTAAGAGTTCATTGATTTGTAAGTTGCAGTAACTGGCCTGTCAGATGGATGATGGCCTTCGAAGACCAAGGAGCATGGGCAAGAGGGATGGCTGGCATTTGATGGCACAAAAAGGAAACTTTCAAATTCAAATGCTTTGAAAACCCACTTTTCCTAGTAGGTAGAAGGAGGGAGTGTCTTTTCCTTGAAAGAATGCCACGAGTGCCCGTGGTTTTCAAGCTTTACCTGGAGTTGCCATGTTGGTGTGTGTGAGGTGTCCAAATTACCAGCCCATCTGAGCTCCCTGCCTTTCTCGGGTTTTGCTGTTACTTCCAATCTTGTTGTGCAAAGGAATGCATTACTCTTTGGAAATATTAAGAATGCAAGAAGATGCCATCCCTGGGAAAATTATTTTTAAGAGGTTCGATAAGCTCAAATGGCCCTCGCTGGGAGTTCAGGTTTCTTGGAAAAGCATTCCTCGATGTTAACCCTGGGCCCTGTGTCATCTGCATCGGAAACCCATATGTGGGTGGAAGGAATGGATGCATGGGATCCAGCTGGCCACATGGGCGTCCCGCTATCGGGCAGGCCAGACACTTGTTCGTTCTCTAAAGGAGAAGACCAGGCCGTGGCGAGATGGCCAGTCAAAGCCATTTCTCCCCATTATGCCTAAGCTTTCAAAGGTGCTTTTGGGGCTGCAATTTTGCCCTCCTGAGCGTTTCTCAAGACTTAGAGTGATGGAAATCCAGAAGGAAAGACTCTCTTGGAGGAGAGAGCACCAGGTAAAATGGGGAAGGTGCTTGAACTTATTCCAGCTATCTTGTGCGGGTCTCGTTTTATTTGCTGAAAGATGTATGTAAATGATTATTGACCAGTCAGAGCCTGGCTCAGATGAAGAATGAGCTCATCTGAATTTGTGTCCCTTTGAAGTGTGGGCTGTGTATCCAGAGTCATGGACACTGGAACCCACTGTGGTTTCATGGGTTAACTCGATTTGTAACCTCATGAAAATGCAGAGACTGGGTTGAATCATCCTCTGTAGGATGCAATTGTGATGTAAGTCCCCTTCCCGTGTGTGTGTGTGTGTGTGTGTGTGTGTGTGTGTGTGTGTGTGAGGGAGAGAGAGAAAGAGAGAGAGAGGGAGGTTCCAATAGGTTGACATAGCTGTTGCTGGTTCTTGCTTTTAAATAATAAATGAGGGCTGCAGATGCAAGAGCATTGCCTGTTGTTTGGCTCATCGGATTGTTTCCTTGATAAACTAGTCAATAAAAGAAACGTGGGACTGCTGAGGAGCATGTGCTGGGCCCAGCCCTGTTCCAGGAGGCAGAGCTGGGCTGGGCTGGCGGACGTGTCCACAGCACGCGCCTGGGCCGGGTGCAGGAGGCACGCCATCCGGTCGGTTTGAAGCCTCCGTGGAAATGGGGAGCATTAAGAGTTTCTGCACTTCTGTTTTCAGAGCACCTCCTTTGACATTGCTTTTAACCTCTGATATGCAAATATATTTGCCATTTTGGAACAGGTTTTGTATTCTGGGTAACCTCTGAGTTCCGGGATTCTAGGAATGGCTGGCTCTGAGATGTGTTAAGGCTTTGTCGGTGTTATAATGTCACACATGACCGGAAGGAGGAGTGGGCGCCCTCCACAGCCACAGGCCCCACGAGGCTGTTTACCGTGGGTCGCACACCAACCGGAGGACAAGGGGTTGACCCCTTGGCATCCCGCTCCTCCCAGTTCATTTCCAAGGCCACCTCGTGGGGCTCAGAATTGGTTGCCCAGCTGTCAGATTCCACCACTGGAATATTAAAATCATTCATAGCCTTATAGGTGCGTGTTTTTACAAACAGACAGTTTTTCTATATTTTCGGTGAAAAGCTTCAACCTTGAAGGGATGGTTTTAAATGGACTGACGTGTCTCAGGCGCATCTTCATTTTGGCCAGAAGCCATCCCTGGAGTGGACGGGTTTTCTGAGCTCTTGGTGAAGAGTAGGGTCCCCGTGTGGAAAACTGTCCCAGGGACAGGCTGATCGTCCCCGTGCCCCCCATTCCCCCTGGCAAGCTTCTTTCCTCTCCGCTCTTTGAAAGGCACTCAAAGCACGCCAGATTTTTATTTTTTCTTTCAAAACGCACGCCGCTGTTTGAACCTTGGGACCCAGGGGCAACTTCGGAAGTGAATGTTCACTCTTCAAAGTCTTTGCTATCTACAAGACTGCATTTCTCCTTCTTGGACGTTGTCAGAGCGCCCTGATGTTGTCGCCTTGCTGGCGTCAGCTCCTGTCCCAAAGGGATTTCTGCGTTGGGTGCTTTCCCGCTGGAATTTGTGTCTCGCCTGCCCTAGCATTTGGAAGGAGTATGCTCTTGTGTCATCGATATGGTGTCTCTGTTGACCACGCCCCCCCCACCCCCCTCACGCCAAAAAGCAAAAGCCTTGAAGAAAGTTCCATGTAAAAGGTTGTCTTCCTATTGGGAACTATGAAATGGGCGGGTCTTCACGTACCTGTTGGGTTGTCATAAAAATCCATCTCAGAGGTGGAGGCGAAGGGTGCTCCATGGAGGGGGCATTTGAACATTGGGGCTCCGTAGACTGTGTATATGTACTGTTTTAAGATCACTTCCATGTGCGGGAATCCGCTGGGTGGATGATGGCCCTGGAGCTGTCCCAGAGAGCAGCGGGAGTGTGCAGGGCGGCGGGAGCTGAGGGCCTCCGTGGGGACCTGCCGGGGAAAGCGATGCGTGCAGAGAGGGGGACCCTGGGGCAGTGACAGCCCAGGGAGCTGCCCGGGAGTCAAGGCAAGTTTTTCTCTCTATGAGGGTCAAATTTAAGGGTGGGGACCCCACCAGCCAGGAATGATAAAGGCCCACATCCCTTTCAGTTACAGCAGAAAACCCAGTTCAAACTGGTTCTAACAATGACAGGAGCTTGTCAGGGAGTTGAAACTGAGGCGTTTAGAGGGAGAACCAGCTCTGAGCATGGTTTGTTAAGGACTTGGTCTGCTATTTCTTGGAGATCATCTTGGTTAAGCCTCCTCACCCCCACGAAAGGGGGCAGGGGAGGTCACTTCTGAGGAGTCGGAAGGATGGCTCATGGATGACAGGGTTGCATCAAGTGATTAAGGAAACATGGGGGTTGGAATGTCACTTTGATGTCCTGCAAGGACTCACCAAGCTGGATGGCCCGTCGGCCTCTTGCGGTGAAACCCGGCTGGGCATCAGTCACCTGCAGACTCTTCAGGGGCACAGAAGCCCGGTGGCCAGCCCACACCTGCTGAATTGGATTCACGAGGCAGGAGCTTGGGCATCGGTGTTTTTAGAACACTTTGGTGACCTTGCCACGGGTTCTGATGGGCGGGCAAGATGATGACCAGCTGGCCTAATCCGTGTTGGCTTTCTGAACCTCGTAATTTGGCATCCTACCTAAAGAATGGGGGCAGGGACTGTGCCAATCTCCTTGTCTTAAGAGCAGGACTGTCTTTCTTCCACAAGCTCCCCATTTGGAAGCTTAAGTTTTGTTTCTTGCGTTACTTTCACAGACCAAAACATCCTATGTCTCACGAATTGCTCATAAAGCGACTAAACAGTAAACATCCAAGGGGCGAACGACATTTGCAACAAATATGACAAAAAGCTCGTGTCCTCGTTTGTAACAACCAAGGGTGTATCTCCCAGGCACTATCCAATCCCATCAGACCTCCAAAATAATCCTGTAAAACAGCATCTGTTGTCCCCCCCCCCTGCCCATTTTACAGCTGAGGAAACCGAGGCACAGAGAGGTTCAATTACCTGCTCACAGTCACACAGCAGGTGAGTGGAGAAGCTGAGATTCCAACCCAGGCTGTCACTCAAGAACACTGTAGCTCAGAGATTCCTGAGAGACACTTGGATGTGCTGGATGTGTAAATGGGCAAAGGGTAAGAAGAGGAACAAACGATGCAATTTTTATTCTCAAATTAGCAAGCGCTTTTTTAATTACTGTACCCGCCCCTGGTGAACAACATTCCTGTGCTGCTACGTGAAAGAACAAATTGCCACAAACTTTTTAGAAATCAATGTGACAGTATGTAACAAGAACCATAAAGCTGAACCAGGAATTTTACCTCTAGGAATCCAGCCTAAGGGAACGATCTCAGAAAACCAGGCAGAGATCACAGCGTAGCAAAAACATAGGGGGAGGTAAGATTAGAGGGGGACTGCTAAGGGGACGTCATCCATCTGTCATGGATTCGTAAGAAAGCATTTAAAATTATGCTTGCAACTTGGTAATGCCAACAGGAAATGGCGCCCTGTATTAAGTGAAAAGGACAGAATCAAAGTTATCCACACTATACAGTATCATCTCAATTATGTCACCTCCCCCAAAAGTAGGCATAGAAAAAAAAAAGGAGAGGCAATATTAACCCCTAGGTGATGGGGTCATGCATGATTATTTTCTGTTTTTTCAGACTTTTCTCAGATTTTCTAGAAGGGCAGTATTCATTTTTTTGACAGGTATTAATTTCATAAACAGAAATTTACTCCTTAGAAGAAAGCCATCATGCGCAGGTGAGTCGGGGCTCGGTTTCCGTGGCCAGAGTGTTGCTG